TCTACCTTTATGCTCATTAATTATAATAACAATTAATCAACATTTGGGTGATCCTGAAATGCCTTATAATAATGAACTTCAATTAACCCATAAATCAATTATTCATAATTTTAGCGTTCATATTATGGGTAATTGAAATAAAATCATTAATAATTTGAAATCAAAATAACCTTAAAATTTTGGCCACTTTGGTGACTAACAAAATTTATCATGCTTAATTTCAAATAAATAATATCTTTAATTGTTATTAACCATTCATAGCATTTTTTTATTATTAATTTTAATAAATATGTAAATTATTCACATAATAAAATATTATATGCCATAAATAAAATTGAAACTAAATAAAATTGAAACCCATAATTTCAATTTCCATTATAGGATTAATTTTCAATCCTAAGACCTTAATTTTATTGAAATTGTCAATTCAAAACTTTTATGCGCAACTTATAGCGAAAATAATTCAATTCAATTTGCAAAACAAAATTTGCAATTAAGGCATTTATATATGGGTACATCCCATAACAGTGACAACCATTCATTCATTTATACGTACCACGTAAAGTAAAACTAAGCACATCCCATGACAGTGTTGATGGTGCATTATCAGTCGTTATTACATGTATTATACGTGGACAAAATAATATATAGATATAACGTAATAGCTAATTATTCACTACAAAAAAAAATCTCGCAGAACATATAATAATCATGCATAATAAAAAGGAACATGCAAATGTGCTCTGCAAGCAAAATCATATCAACTTTATCGTTTACCTTTCTTCCATCATAATTATAACATAATTATAACATCTCATCATAATTATAACATCCCATCATAATTATAACATTCCATCATAACATCTCATCATAATTATAACATACAATGAAACTAATTTCATACATGATTCACCCTAACCCTATCACGTCATTTGCCTTTTCAATTAAAATTAATTACGGGGTCATTCACGCATAGGGGCTATAAAATTGGTTTCAATTTGAACTTGAAAACATAATTAGGGTTTATTCCTTTATTTAATTTTGAGACAAATAAATTTGGGAATAAATTAGGGTTCATACTAATCTAATAGAGAAACCCCTAAATTCATAATTAGGGTGTATCTTAATTTGGGAAAAACATAATTTGAGAAATACTTTCATAAAAGGAAAATCATAAATCTAATAACCTGGCTCTGATACCACATGTAAAATATTATGTAGTTTTCCTACGTTCTTAATTAATTATGGAAAATTACTGTACAAGATCTTTAAATTATTGATTTTCACAATATAACATACATCAATACATGAATCATAGTAAGGAGACTAACCTTGATCCATGAGAATCTATTTTTTAATCTTTTCGTTCTCCAATTTCCTTTTCCCAATCTATCTCTTTGTCTTTCTTTCTCTTCTCACGCTTTCTTGATGATTTAATATTTTATTAACCAACGTCCATCAAGTTGGTTACCGTAAGTTAATATTTTATTTTATCTTTATTTTATTCTAACTTCACATAATAACCAATAGGTCCTCATATTTTATTAAATCACATTTGAACCCATAATTATATTTCACATAAGTCACATAATGGAATGAATTAATTAAATTAATTATAATAGAGAGATCTAGGAAGACACACGTGAGTTCCTTCACTTTAAATTTTGCTTACTATGGTTTGTAAAGTTATTCATATTAATCATTTCTTTTTTTCTTCTAACAAGAAGAATTTGAAACTAGACTTTCATAAGCTAAGTCATCTGCTAGATCTTGTTTTGGCAAAGCTGAATCCACTCCTAGCGACTTTGCGCATGATGAACTTATTAAGTCCAATTACTGAGTGGACATATATAATTGAGAGAAAAAAATAAAGGAAGATTGTATGGGGTTGGAGAGCTTGCTCAAACATTCAACTCTACAATTGATTTAGAAGAGATACAACGATTGTCTGCACAAGAAGAAGAAATTTGTCAAACAAGAGAGCATAATGAACTATTAGAGCACCAATTTTGGGAGTTTTAATCCCTTGTCGATGCAGTTGCTCAATTTTTACCTCTTGATGCACAATTTCTCATTCAACACCGCTAACACAACCAACCAAATAATGAAGAAGAATCCCAACAACAAGACAATCAAGAACAAGAAAACCCACCACAACAAGACAACATTCTCTTGATTATTTTCACCATTAGATGCTTGTAAAAACAAGAATAAAACAATATTTGAGTTTGACTTGTATCTTTAGTCTCTTTCTATGAGCTATATGATTGTCACTATTCATACTATTTTACTTTATTACAATACTTATATATATTATGTTTGATTGTAGATGATTTGGATTACATTTTAATTTAGTTGTTAATTTTAGTTACATTTATATAGTTTAATTCAATTGTTGAATGAATTGCTGAATTGAACTATTGAATTGGATGTGAATATGTAATATTTCGTAGGTTACAAAGAATATATGGGAGAGGGAAGGGGATAATGACCATTGGAAATATAATTAATATTATTGGCGGATATTATCTATCATTAAATGTCTCCATCATTAATACTAATAATTACTAATAAATATTCGTCGATAAGTATTTTGATCACGTAACCATACCGGACTTTACTAACGAATATATTCGTCGGTAATTACAGATTGAACATCATAAACCTATTAGTACATTTTACAACAACATAATTATTGATAAATTATTGTCCATTGAAAATCCGTCGATAATACCAATTTACACATAAATTTTTTTTATATTGATCCTTGAAAAAATCCTATTTTTCTTATAATGTTATTACATATTCATGGATCATGTAATAATGTATTTTTAATTCTTTACTATAACTATTTTATGGTTTCAAATATAATACCTATAATTTCTTACAACATTTTGCAAATAATAAGCCTCCGTTGAAGAAATTTAGACAAGACAAAGATTTCTTTTATTAGGTATATTATTAGATTAGTAAAATGGTATATTAATTACGGATGAAATTGATTATCGGTTTAAGAATATTATATATATATATATATATATATATATATTTTTTTTTTGGTAATCTACATTTACAGGTGGTGTTATAACGAAAATGGTAAGAAAATAACCTATACTACATTATTGATGTAATAAGATTGTTTGTTTCACAACTAATGTTTTATCTCCACGTATCACATTATTTAGTATTATCCAATGTGGTTTGTGCCTTTGATGGACCATGTTTTCATTCTATAAAAAAGCCTTTTTACATCACATATCTAATGATTTACGATATAGAATCGATAGTATGATTTATACCACTTAGTAAACTCCCATTAGCAAGTCAAGATCTACAAGCATACGAAATCTCATCAACGCACGGTGCAGAATTATCGGTAGAGAACGGATCCAACAACATCACATTAATAGGTTGGATGATATCAACGATTTCTTGGTAGATTTTCTCTCACTGGTTAAATATTATATGACATATCTTGCTCATCTTATATAGCTGGTGCATTATCATCATGAATCACATGAACGGAATTTAATTTCCTTTGAGTTGATGCCGTCGAATCAAAGAAATGTGCATTGTGCTATTCCTACAATAATTTTTCTATGTAATATTATTTTACCTTCTTATAGTATCTGTTGTACCTTTTAGTTCCGTCACTTTTTCTTTTGTATTTTTGAAAACTAATCTTTTAGAATGTATACGACAATATAGAAAGTAGGTTCCAAAATAAAGAAAGATGATAAAAAGAGAAACAAGAAATTGTGTGAGCCAGTCCTTGGATTTTGATTCGGGCCTTATAATGGGCCTTTCGGCCCAAGTAATAAATGTTAACCGTCCTACGAGTTGCAGAAAACTCTGCACTTTTCAGCTAGTCAAATAATAGGACGGTGATGGATGGGAGAAGGAAAACGCAATACGCATGTTGTGACTTTGCGAGAGAGACGCAGAAGGAAGCCGCAGAAACTTTGAACCAATTTTGAATGGATAGTGAGTTGATTTTGGGGAAAAGCAAGCCAACAATGCGTTATATTGTGCACCCCTCTTATCCCCAGTTGGAAAAATATTAAATTAAAAAAAAAAAAACAAATAGTCGCGGTTGGCGTGTCCAATGTGTAAAATTAAAAAGTAGCTTGGTTTCGCGGCGTGTTTGGGGTCAACGTGCAATTAACGGTTTTTAAGAGAATATGCCGTTGCGATGTTCCTCGCAGACATTCTCAGATGCCAAGTGGGTCTGAGTGAGAAAGAGAGAGATAGATAGATAGAACGACGCACCTGTTAAGTTTTCTTCTCTTCCTTCTTCTTTCTATCGCACGCACTTCTCGTGTGATCTTTCTCCATTTCGCTCCTTCACGCCATTCCAGGTACCTCTTCTCTCTCTCTCTCTCTCTCTCTCTGTTTCTCTCTCTATATATATTTCTCTCTCATAATTTTCCGTCGTCTAAACATGGTGAACGTCGCTTGCGATGGATTATCTCTGCAACTTCTCTTCGAACGATTTCGTTTGTAGTTGTTTTCGTTGCGGTTGTTATCTGTCGTTGCTTTTCCTTGATTAGCTTTTGCTTTGCGTCGTATATTTGTGGCTTGAATATTCGGTTTCCTTTTGTTTTGCTTTATTTGGTTGCGTTGCCGCAATCTTGTACGATAAGGAAAATGATAACCGAAAAAATGAGAGAAAAAAGAAAAGAAAAACAGAGAGAGATTGAGATTAGGGCTTCGGTCTCTCTTACCTAATTTGATTGATTCAACTATATATAACTATCCGGAGAAGTTCAGTTCACAGCTTGATAGGGCCTGGTTTTCATAACTCTTAGTTCGCGTTGTTCGTATTGTTGGTTTTCATAATAATGACTTCGGTTAGCGCTGTTTGATTTTTCTTCTGCGCATGTGAGATGAGATGAGAAGCGTAAAGTTCATGCACGTGAGCGAATGATTGAATTTGGAAAAGCAGTGGAATTTTAATCAATTATCATTTGGTAAAAACGAAGGAAGGGTAAAGAAGAAGGATGAGTGGCGAAGACGTGAGGCAGAATTTGTCATGGTGGTGAAGGAGAATTGGTTGATTTGTTGAAACTGGAAAACGTCAATATGTTGTAGTTAGTTCGAATTCTAAGATTTTGCTTTTTTTTTTCATTAGATTTTTATTGCTTTTGTTATGTGTCTCCTGCTTGGCCGTTATGCCGTTACTTGAATGAACATGAAATTGCTTATTGAATGGTTTTATTTCCCGTCTTGTTGTCAATGATGTGGTTACCTTTTTGCAACAAATACTGATATTACTATGTTTTTAAAACTTGTGGTGCAGGATCCTACTGGTGCTGCTCTCTACGGTTTTCTGTAACTCCTTAAGTGCACTTCATTGCTAGATTTTTGATACATTATATTAGATTTTTAAAAAATTTTGGATTGGAATGGGCTCTAGTAAGCAGTCTGCTCGTATTCTTGATACCTTGAAAATGGAGAGGGTTAGAACTATTCTAACCCACACTTATCCATACCCTCACGAGCATTCCCGCCATGCTATAATTGCTGTTGTTGTTGGTTGCCTCTTTTTCATCTCATCTGACAATATACATACTCTCGTAGAAAAATTAGACAACAATGTTAAATGGTGGTCTATGTATGCCTGCTTGTTCGGGTTCTTTTATTTCTTTTCATCACCATTTATAGGCAAGACTTTCAAACCGAGCTATTCAAATTTCAGTCGATGGTGAGTTTCTTTGGTGAATGTGTTACCATTTATGTGTATGTGCTATTGTGTATTTTTATGAAACATTGTATGGAATTAGAAGTAATTAGGCATCCATTGTGCAGGTACATAGCTTGGATTTTAGTGGCAGCTGTGTATCATCTTCCTAGCTTTCAGTCAATGGGAGTGGATATGAGGATGAACCTATCTTTGTTTCTGACCATATATCTCTCTTCCATCTTGTTTCTTCTTGTCTTCCACATTATATTTCTTGGCCTCTGGTATATTGGCTTTGTTTCACGTGTGGCGGGAAAGAGACCAGAGATCTTGACCATTCTTCAAAACTGTGCAGTAAGTACTGAAGATGATTGCTCGTGTCATTTGAAGATGCAATATTGTTCTGATGCTGTTTATTTTAATGAATAATAGGTACTTAGCGTGGCATGCTGTGTATTTTATAGTCATTGTGGGAACCGTGCCATGTTAAGAGAGAGGCCACTTGACAGAAGAAATTCCAACTGGTTTTCTTTCTGGAAGAAAGGGGAGAGGAACACATGGCTTGCAAAGTTTCTGCGGATGAATGAATTGAAAGACCAGGTTTGCTCATCTTGGTTTGCTCCAGTTGGTTCTGCAAGTGATTATCCTCTCTTGTCAAAGTGGGTTATTTATGGCGAGGTATTTAATGCAATAATATAATTATTGCATTTATAAATTCTGCAGTCTTAATTTATGTATTTGTATAGAAACCCAAGTTATGATGCCAAAATTATTTTTATGTACTAGATAGCTTGCAATGGATCGTGTCATGGTTCATCAGATGAAATTTCTCCCATCTACTCTCTTTGGGCTACATTTATTGGGCTTTACATTGCAAATTATGTGGTGGAGAGGTCAACAGGGTGAGTAGTACCCTATAGTTGATTTATGATGCGCTAATAAACTTTATTATTTTCCTGCTTGTAGTATTATTGATTGTTTTAAATTGATCAAAGTATAAAATTTTTCTGATATTAAATTTGAATGGGAATTACAGACATGAAACACAAATTTCTTTTGAATTCTCAAATAAATTATCAGTTTTCAAAATTTTGCATCTGTTTCTTGTAGATTTTTTCACTGGAGCAAATGTTTCTTTTATTTTTTTTCTTTTTTTTCTCTTAGCCATCCAAACAGACTTTTCAGAAAAAACCACGAGTTTATGTTTTCTTATGTATTAGTCTGTTTTGGTAATTTTAGTTTTTTATTTTTATTTATTTATTTATAATGCCTGCTATTCTGGGCCATATTTCCTGCACAAATCAATGTGCAAAGGTGCCATGAGCACTTGGTGCAACAGTGCTCAATGAGTGTGATAAATTATTATAGCTGGTATCACATTTCAAACTACATTTATATCAACCTTTTTTTTTGTCCTCGTTATTTCTTTTAATTTATTCATCTGTGTCTGAAAAATCAACAGGTGGGCTCTCACTCACCCATTATCTGTTAAAGAATATGAGAAGGTGAAGAAGAAGCAAATGAAACCTGATTTTTTAGACATGGTTCCTTGGTACTCCGGGTATGTACGTATATATAAAATACCTTTTTCCTAGTTATTGGTTAATTTTATTTCTTGCGTCGGCGTTGAAGTTTGTCTTGAATGTGCGGTTACATTTGCTAAATGATGCAGAACATCTGCTGATTTATTCAAAACTGTTTTTGACCTCCTGGTATCAGTGACTGTCTTCGTTGGGCGTTTTGACATGCGGATGATGCAGGTAACATTTTTATTTGCGAAACTAATAGTAATTAGTAGCTTTTTCAACATTTGACCCAAATTAATCAACTATCATCCTAACACTAATTACACAGCAAGAAAAGTTGGACTGTTTTACTGGAATTTTATTATTGTAAGATGCGCATTATTCTATGATGAGAAGAGTTTAATTTATGTTTGTTACTGGAATTTCATGTTGCTTGTATGCCATTATTAACAAGTCTACTTTTCTTGCCAGGCAGCAATGACTAGGGTTAGTGATGGAAATCAACAAGGTGACCTTCTATATGATCATTTTAGTGAGAAGGAGGATTTTTGGTTTGATTTTATGGCCGATACTGGTGATGGTGGGAACTCATCTTATGCTGTGGCACGACTACTTGCTAAACCTTTCATTCGAACACTGAAAGATGATTCTGCGCTAACCTTACCACGTGGAGACTTGCTAATTATTGGGGGTGATCTTGCGTAAGTTGGCTGCATTCATTATTATTATTATAAATTGAGGCTATTATCACATGATTTTGTCAATTATGATTTGTAAGCTTCTTCAGAATATAAGTTGTGATGAGAATTTTTTGGATTTTATTGATATATAAGATATATGATATGGTGAAGCTTCTCTCTTATATTTTATTAATGTACTTTATATATATAAAGTAAAGATATTATAAATATTAAATATTAATAATATATCAATCTTAAATATCTAAATTAGAATAATAACATTTCTCTTATTATAAATAATAATAAATATTTCTTAGTACCTAATTTAAATAAAAAATAATAGAATAATATTCTAAACATTCCTCTTGTAATATTTATTTATTTGAATTTGATATTCATTCTTTTTCTTTTTGTTTTCTCTCCTTTTACTTGTAATTATTGTCATTTTGATTCTTGTATGAGATAACTCCTTTATTCAGTTTCAGTTTCTTCATGAGTATATTTCTTTCTTCATTAGCTTCATCTCTTTTGTTTATTGTGAATTTCATGGTAATAACATTGAAACTTTTATGGATGTTGGTAGGTGGTTCTTCATCCACATCTTCATTCTCTTCCTTGACATCAAGTTTCTTCAAGAAATATGCATCATGTTTTTCTTTTATATCTTTATTTATAGCCAACTATTCTTTCATCAAATCTAAAGAAAAACATTTTCTTTTCATATGAACTTTAAATATTTTCTAGTTGTTTGTATATTTAATCACAAAAAGTTTGTGTCAAAAGACATCTTATAACTTTTATCTAATAATTATGCAACACTTAATAAATTTTGGTTAGTATTAGGAATATATAAGACTTTCACATCAATTTGTTCTTCATTATCAATTTTTACTTTAGAAATAACATATTCATTGAGGAGGTTTCATTTGTTACCTTTATACTGCTTGGCTTGGAGGGAACCTTCATTATGATATAGTAAAACACCTTCAATAGCATGATTTCATCCATCTTCGTTGTTCTTTTGCTTGCTTGTATGGCATGTAGAACTTTTCCCAAAGCAATGTTAGATAGATCTTGTGTTTTTCAACAAAGTAATCTCACTAGAAGATTCTTAACTGATTTGGAATTAGAAATTTCCATACCTAACAATATTGTTAGTAATACTCAATAATTTGTTTGAATATTCCTTAATTGTCTCATACTCTTTCATCCTTATTAGCTCATATTCTCTTACAAAGATTACAACTTCCATATCTTGAATCTTTTGTATTGTTTTTTCAAACAATCTCAAATTTATTTGGTTAACTTTAAGGTTATGATTCCGGTGAAAATAATTGTGAAACACCACGAGTAAACAAACATGGCTTTGGTTTTGCCTTCCAAATTTTTCTTTCCTTTTGAATTTTAATTTGGGCAGGTCAATGATGTAATCTTCTTCAACAACTTTCTATAGGTCGTAACTTTCATCATCAAAAAGTGGAATAAGAACTTGTGAAAAATTTCTTCAATTTTACAGGTCTAGTAAGAACCAAAAATTTTTATACCGCCGGTAGGAATTTTTAGGGTTTTCGTATATATGTATATTTCATATATGAAGTACATGATATGGTGGAACTTCTCTCTCATTTTATTTATTTATATATAGAGTAAAAATATAACAAAATATCAAATATTAATAATATTTTAGCCTTAACTACCTAAATCAAAATAATTACTATATTTTTCTCTTATTCTAAATAATGATAAAAATATTTTAATACCTAATTTAAGTAAAAAATAATAAAACATTATTTCCATCAAGTTGACACCATTTAATTCCATGGCTCTTGATTGAGAACTCTGGATACAAAGGTCTAAAGTTAAATCATAAAAATTGAAATTCCAAGTCTTCTGCTTTTCATTTTGTACATATTTGTTGAGGGCTTAACCAGATCCCACCACATTATATTCCATTTGTGTTACTTGTTAACTACTTTTTACTTAAGTAATAGTGTACATATTAAAGGCAAAATGTATCTTGTTGTTGGGTCTTGCATTTATATATGTTTATATTGAAAGTTTTACATGTGATAAAACTTGTGAATTTCATCTCAAGCTTATGGATTTTTCAATTATCCCATAACTACCTCCTTCCATTTTGAAGACTTTGGCTTGGTACTGCTACTAATTTCAGGTCTTAGCATTCTTTGATATTAATTTTTTATTTCATTCTTCATCCCTTCTTCATGGACTGGTTAATAGACTAATATAAGATGTAAATGAGATGTTCCAAACCAAATATTCTAAGTTTGAGTTTGTCCTGTGTAAAAAGAGAGTCAGAGCGAGTCTGTTCAAGTTTGTTTAATTTTTCCAGACAACCCAAATTTAAAACTTGAGCTTGGCTTTATTTGACTTGATTTTGTTTTTTTTTATTACTTTTTTTATTTTTTTTTATGAAATAGATGTTTATTATAAGTATTTGGTAGACAACTTTACTCTAGGTGAAGTAAAAATAGAAATGAAATTAATTGGTTGAATGTGTTTTTAGTATCTGTAATGAATAAATTTTGATTTTGATGCTGTAAAATTTTTCTGGTTTTAGTATTTCTAAAATTAGAAATCAATTTTTTTTATCTCTAGTATTTTGTGACACTTGTTTACTTCTTAAAAGGTTAAGTAATCATCTTAGGTGCACAAGTGTTTGTGATACAATGTGAGCTTGTGATACCTCTAAAATTTTTCAAGATCCCTAGAGTAAATGTTACTTATCTAACTTAAAATGAACGTTGGAAACCAAAAATAGTGATTCTGAATTAGATTTATGAAAATAAAATAAAAATATTTTAGAAAATATAGTGATTTCAAATTTTTAGAGGGATAAAAAGCAAAGATGACTTGAGATTTGAAATGAAAATTTTAATGCGAAAATGATGATTTTTCTAGTTTATGGATACCATTTAAAATATGACTCTTGATAGTTGAAGGTAAGTGGCATGTATAAGACAATGACAAATATTTTTTTTTTCCTATTAAATACAAAAAAAAAAACATCAGAATCATGGGCCGTTAATGTCAATCATTAAGCTTGAGCTTGTTTGTTTTAGCTTGTTAAATGGTTGATTGAGCATTTAAAAAGGTGAACTTGAATAATTCATGCATAAATTAACTCATTTATAACCCGTAATAGTGGGGCTTAAATAAAATTAGATAGATTTGCTAAACTTGTTTGAAAGGTCAGCTTAACTGAAACTACTTTTTTTCTTTGTGGTGTCATTTAAAGTAGTAACTAGCAATCTCAGTGTTTTGTAGCTATATTTTTTTCCCTTGAATGACTTTTTTTTTGTTGTTGTAGGTATCCAAATCCATCAGCATTTACATATGAAAGGCGTCTTTTTGTTCCTTTTGAGTATGCTCTTCAACCTCCTCCTTGGTATAAAGCAGAGCAGATAGCTGTGAACAAGCCAGATGTACCCTTCGGAGCTCCATTAAAACAGTACAATGGACCTCAGTGTTTTGTTATTCCTGGAAACCATGGTTAGTTTTAGCTTCTGTATTGAACCTTACCAAATTACATGTGTTATTTTTCAAGGAGTTGTTTTTCCATTTTTATATCTATCATCTTGCTACTTATTTTCCTTATTAATTATTATGTTATATTTGTTTTGATTATTTACCTCATGTCATTTATGCAAATGCCAATACGGTTTACTAATTAATAATTGTTTTCTTCTTAGACTGGTTTGATGGACTCCAGACCTTTATGAGGTATATATGTCATAGAAATTGGTTAGGTGGATGGCTCATGCCCCAGAAGAAGAGTTATTTTGCTTTGCAACTCCCTAAAAGGTGGTGGGTTTTTGGGCTTGATCTAGCTCTTCATGGTGATATTGATGTGTACCAATTCAAGTTCTTTTCAGAATTGATAACGGAGAAAGTAAATATCCAGCCTGTTATTTCTTTTGTCTCTTCATTTCTATGAAATGGTGAAGTTACATCACAAATGCTTTGATTAACTATTTTATTTAATGAACTGTGCAGTAAGTTTTTATGGAATCATTAGGATGTGGTTATTACATAATACTTATAGTAGTGGCATTTGCTGATAAAGTGTTGTGCTTGATTAAATGGATATTTAGCAACTTCAGAATTTGGAGAAATAATCGCAATTTTCAAAAGCTCTCAAGAAATTTGTAATAATAATAATCTGTTTTTCCCTTCAGAATAGGTTGAACCGAACGTGTTAAACTTTAACTTGCAGACTGTTCTGCACCTCCATTCAACTGTATTTTCTGAAATCTTATTAGCAGTGCCTGAGTGTTGTTCATGGTCACTGGTTTTTCTTTTTTTTTTTTTTGTTACTTATTGTTTGTCTTTAGACTATGAAAGTAAATGATATCCGATTGATCACGACATCTACGGTGACCATCTTTTATTGTCAAGGTTTAAGAGGATGATTCTGTGATAATTATAGCCTATGAACCTCATTGGATGACAAACTGGTATTGGAATGATGGTACCGGAAATAATATTTCACATCTAATTGAATCATCATAGCTCTATCTCTGAGTGTTATTTTCTTGTTTTAACTTACCGTTTGTCCTTAGACTAATAAAGTAATTGTCAGCTATCAATTTGATTGACCACAACATCTACTGTGACCATTTTTTCTGTCAAGGTTCAAGAGAATGACAATGAACCTTATTGGATCACTCGAAAGAATATTTTGCATCTAATTGGATCATTATTGTCTCTTAGTGATGTTCAGTCTCCGTGTTTTGGTTGTATTAACTGGCTGTTTGTCTTCAGAGTATTGAAGTAATTGTCAGCTATAAATCTGATTGACCACAACATCTAATGTGACCTTTTTTCATTCAAGGTTCAAGAGAATGACTCTGTGATCATTATAACACATGAACCTAATTGGCTCACCGACTGGTATTGGAATGATGTTACTGGAAAGAATATTTCACATCTGATTTGTGATTATTTAAAAGGAAGATGTAAGCTTCGAATGGCTGGGGACTTACATCATTACATGCGTCATTCTCACGTAAAGTCAGATGGGCCTGTACATGTTCACCATCTTCTCGTTAATGGTTGTGGTGGAGCATTTTTACATCCTACCCATGTCTTCAGTAAATTTAACAAACATAATGATGTCTCCTATGACTGCAAAGCTGCATATCCATCCTTTGAGGATTCGAGCAGGGTAAGTAGAATGTTGATAACTAGTAGTCATATATCCTTGTTTATATATATATATATATATATATATATATTACCAGCACATTTTACATTTGTAAATTTGATGCAGATTGCGTTGGGAAATATTCTAAAATTTCGAAAGAAGAACTGGCAATTTGATTTTATTGGTGGCATTATATATTTTGTGCTAGTCTTTTCAATGTTTCCACAAGTGAGTTCCTGCATAATCTTTGTTATTTTTTTAGTTTTATTCTGTATGCTTTCAATTCAATGTAAAATAATTGTTTTTAAGCTGTTGGATTCTTTTTTTTTTTTTTTTTTCCATTTGGCCCATAGAGTAAGTGGAGATTAGTATTTTGCTTATCTGCTAAAGTACTATCATTTATTACTATTTGCTAAGTCGCAATTGTTTTTGTACTTATTTCCTAGTGTGAGCTGAATCACATCCTCCAAGATGATACATTTTCTGGCCACATAAAGAGTTTCCTTGGTACTGTGTGGAATGGATTTATATATATTCTGCAGCACTCTTGTGTGTCACTAGTGGGAGCTATACTATTACTAATTGCAGCATATTCTTTTGTTCCGCCCAAATTGACACGGAAGAAACGAGCAATAATTGGAGTTCTTCATGTTTCTGCTCACCTTGCTGCGGCACTAATTCTTATGTTGCTTCTTGAAATAGGCATAGAAATATGCATCCAGCATGACTTGCTGGCAACTTCAGGTTAGGTTTTTCTATTTAATGAAACGGTTTGTAGGATATAAATTTTGGTAACTTGTTCCACTCAAATAATGTATTTTAGCTTAACTACACTTTTGATTTTCAGTTTCACAAAATTTCAGTTTTGTAATTTTGACGTATCCATAAAGGCACGTTACATTGCTTATATTTTGTTTTTTTTATTTATCCATGTATTTTGTTGGAAGTTGTATTTCAATGTTGGAAGCTAGATTCAATAGGTTCATAACTGCTGGACCATGGCTCTGGTGTTATTGATATGACTCCTGATTTAGTGAATTTTGGCCGAAGATCCTGTGACTATTTGCCATTGGTCATCACAACTAAATTATGGAAAATGATTTTAAGACTTTGTAAAGTGGGATTGTATCTGTGTGTAATGATGATATTTGGGTTTATACTATCTGAGTTGTTTTTTTTCTTTCGGGTGTAATCCAGGGTATCACACTTTATATCAGTGGTATAGATCAGTGGAAAGTGAGCACTTTCCTGATCCAACTGGACTCAGAGCTCGCATTGAACAATGGACATTTGGACTTTATCCGGCTTGTATCAAGTATTTAATGTCTGCTTTTGATGTGCCAGAGGTGAGAAAGTTTTCTGGACATTTTTTTTGGACTTTTCTTGTAATGGATTCTGTCACACAGATTATTTTCTCAGGTCATGGCAGTCTCTCGGAACAATATTTGCAAGAACGGATTGGAATCTCTTTCCCGGGGGGGTGCTGTAATATATTATGCTTCTGTCTTCCTTTATTTCTGGGTCTTCTCGACCCCTGTTGTTTCCTTGGTGTTTGGAAGCTACTTGTACATTTGCATCAACTGGCTTCACTTACACTTCGATGAAGCTTTTTCGTCTCTTCGAATAGCTAATTACAAATCATTCACTCGATTTCACATTAATTCTGATGGTGATCTTGAAGTCTACACTCTGGCTGTTGATAAGGTAGGAAGTGCTTACTCATTCAACTATTGTGTTTTGTAAAGTAAAGTATTGAATTGGTTCAAGTTAGACACAGAACACTTAAGCTGTAAAGGGTAATATTGACTGTGTTTGCTTCATGAGTGAGTCTATGTTGCAGCTTCTATTACTTTCTCTAATATTTATAGATTCATGTTTTTTGAACCATTCTTAGGTCACTAAATTATTTCTCTTCTAAGACAGTTATTTTAGCTCAATAATTTACACTCTTCCCCTCTTCTGCTGGTAGAGAATGTCTGAATATTAACAATAATAAATTTTAGAATATTGAGTATGCAGATATTTATTGGTTATCTTCAAAACTTCTTTTGTGTAGTGAAAAGTTGTGGTGTATATTTCTAGTAAAAAGAGACTTGTATAGCAACAACTGTTCTTTGCAATTAATGAAAGCTTCAGGTGCCCGCCCAAACGACACAATGATTTGCTTAGAGTATTACTGCATCTATTTTGGGGAGTTTTGAGAAGAAATTGAATTCATAATTATCATGTTTGGCTGTGGTGCTGGGATTTGATTAGTTTTATTCTGTTTCTTAATCAGTGTTTAACATTAACAATATGCAGGTTCCAAAGGAGTGGAAGCTTGATCCAGATTGGGACGGAGAGGCGAAACACCCACAAGAGTTGAGTCATTTTAGAAGGTTTCCCAGCAAATGGAGGGCAGTCACTGCCCACCAGGATCCGGTACATACGGTCAAAATTGTTGACCATTTCGTTATTGGACGGACAGAAAACAATGACTGTGATACTCCATCTAACGGGCCAGTTCAATGATTTGTTGATTTGGTTATTCTCTTTGTAACATTATTTAGGAAGCAATTTGAAGTAATGAAAAAAAAAAAAAAAAAACTAGTATCCGCATATTTTGTTTCATTTATCCTATTACTGCAAAGTGAGATGGACCGATGCTGAAGTGCGATTTCGATAACGATTAGTCTTTACTGCCAGTCTCTGACGAGGGTGCCGCTGAGCATGCCACATGACATCATAACGTGAATCAGAAAATACCTAATTTAATTCAATCTATCTAAGTTGGACCTCTATCTGTCTGAACCTGAACAAAAAAGGAAAATATGCAAATTTACTGAATTGATACTAAATTAATCAGTTTTAAATCTTCATAAAAGATTTTTTTTTAAATAGAATGCACGATTTTAGGCTATATTTTTTTAATGACTTTAGGTGGTTAGATTTTTTTATTCATTTTAATTATATTTTAATGGTTAAATTTTAATATTTAAGTTAATAAAATAAGCTTCATTAAGTTATACATTAATGTGAAAAACTATAAATAATTTAGAAATAGATGAAATTATTAAAGGTAAAATGTATAAATGGGGATGATTAGAATAAAAAGTATTAAAAGAAAATATCACATATTTTATTGTTTATTTGGACAAGTGATCTTTATTTTATAAATGACAAGAAGAATAAATAATAATAATAATGAAGTTGGAGAGATTAAAATTCTTTATTTTATTATATAACTTATGGATTGTCAACCATAACAAGAATTTGATACATCATCAAACTCAATTTTCTTAACTAGCATTATTTTCTTTAAGTAAGTTAGCTATCTCTTTTTAGTTATGAATGTCTTATTTCATCTTGGTACCTTGTTTAACAAACTAAGATTCTCAAATGTGATTTTCACAAAAAGACATGAGCAATGCATGTGATCCTTTAAAACTAAGTTCATGCACTCAACTTCTATAATACGTTTGAGTTAACTTTTCCAATGAAATTTCATATAATTAAGAAACAAATTGATGAAACTCAGATTTCGTAACAGTCAATTTTATTATAAGTTTAGGTTCTTTTATCTCATATCATATGATAAAGAGTTAGACCTTTTAGTAGTGGAAAAACTTGATGTCAATAACAATGATTTAAAATTTTTTCATGAACCTTAATTAGTTTTGTTTCCATCTTTCAGTGTTGTTAGAGGTAATTGAGTCAAACTTTCTTTGTCGAAAATGTCTTCTAATAACTTTCTAACGATAACAATGAAAATGTCATAGTTCAACATGTAAGAGAACACATTTTGGTCATCATTGAAAATTATTTTAGCATGTCTTTATTGAGTCTTAGATCATAAAGTTAACTACAAACAGGTTTCAAAAAAGATTACATGTTTTTCAATGATGAGCCTAAGACCTTACATGCATTTATTCTTCAATGTCAAATTTAACCAATGATGAGGTAGTTGGTTTCCAGACTCAAAGGTATTTTTCACATATTTTTTACATCATTAATTTTTATTTATAACTATATATAAAAATGCCTCTTGTAACTATTCTTTTTGATGTCATTTGAGTGAGAAAAATAAAAGTGTTATAGTTTAAAAAAAAGTTATTGCGATTTATATATTTAAAAAATAGTAAAAATATGAGAAAGAGAAAAAATATGGGAGAAAAAGGTGGGTATATTTAAAAAATGGAAAGAGAAAAGAAAATAATATTTAAAAATTTTAATTGTACAAAAAATGTGGATTCACATGCGTTTTAACATTTGTGTTTCCACTTGTTATTATTATGTGATTTACTAAATTATTGTATATAATAGGTGGCATCCACCTTGACAATGGTCCCCGTGTCATATATGACATACTACACATACTACTTTATATATTTGATTGTGTACAACCAAATGAAGTACTCCCCATACTATATATTATGGTCTATTCAAACTTAAATTGTTTAAAAGTAAATAAAATCAACCTCCTTATCATAGAAACAATCTTAAACGATAAATAAATATTGAAAAATTTTCTATAAGATTGCTATACACTTACATGTTTTGGAACCCTGGAATATTATCAAGTTGATCAAATTATGTCTTAGCCAAAAATTGTCAAGATCCAATGAACTTAAGTCAAGTAGATAAAGAAGATATGATAGGAAAAATAAATAAATATTAGACAGATTATCTTCAAAGTAGATAAGAATGCGAAAGGAGTGTAATAATCATTTAATTCAAGGAACTGAATTTCTTGTAAATGATCATTTACTTAATAATTCATAATACCTACCTTAGTTTCAAAGTAACAAATAGAAGTAAGTATAATATTCACGAATTTGGAAACACAATTCTTCCCAAAGAAATCGTTCTATCAAAATTCTATTATCCTGTGCAAACTTCCAAATAAATTTTAAAGTAAAATACCATTACGATGACTTTACCCTGTTGTGGTGGTGTTAGACATAATTGCTACCACCTTCCCTAAATATTTCAAGTGTAAAATAACCGTCGCATTAAACTTTCCTGAAGACTTTTGTTTAGATTTATTGATATCATTAAAATAATAAAAAACTGTTGAATGGAAGGAACTTCCCGAGAAGATTTTATTAACGTAAGAAATGATTTGTTGATTAGTCTTCACGAAAATGATATGTTGCATACTCTATTTTTTATTTTTTGGTTTGATATTGTAATTACTAATGTCCCGTGTTGAAACTTCTAACTTGCATTCCCATGCAAAGGGTTTCAGTCTCTGTCACTCGTGTCTGCTTTTTTCTTGCATTAAATATCAAACTTTAACATTTTGATCATGTTGACCAAACCATTCCTCTGGCAACCATAATAAATGGTTTATTACTTCAGATCAAAGTTTTCAAGAAGTTTCCTAGAGTGTACATAAAATAATCCTATTGCTAGTCAAAGAATCTTTCATGTTTACGAGTAAGGAGCAATCTTTGTTATTGGTGTCAAAATCAGTGTCTTGTCGTACTATATATTTGATTAGTCTGAGAAGAGAAAATTCTGATATGGTGTGCCTCTTAACGTTTTTTCTACTTCATCCCAGTTCTCAATTTGCTTCCACAATGGCGCAGTGTGAATCTTGACCTGCCTGCTGTGCATATCTCTCAATGGCAATCTTAGAAACTCTTGAACATCTTTCAGCTTCTGGAGTTAGGGAAAAAAGAAAAAATCAACGTTGAATTCTATCCTGAACACGAATAATCTCTCACTTCTCTAACTCTTATTGTGTCCTAACTATTACTTTTATGAGAAAAAATGTATTGTGTGTTATATAATGTTTAACAGTGGAACAACATAATTATAAATAATTAATAATCTTTTCAATCCACTTTTCAATGTTATTGTTGAGATATATATATGTGAAAAAGAAAAAGTGAGACACAAAATCTATACATGGTTGATATTTGTACCATAATGACCTTGCATATTTTTCTCTATATTTTAATGATGTATTTGAATATTTAACATGAAAACAACTAAAAAACAAAACTCTTTATGGTGGTTGAGGCACGACACATGGATTGAGTGTTGTTAGACTCACTGTGTCATTTTTAACGAGATCCTCGTAGTAGAGAACGATGTGGCGAGTGTTTTTAAAGTATTGAATGGCTTTTGCAGCTGTCTCTTCTGTTTGCTTCATCTCTGTCCTCAGCAACGTGGTATTCATCCATGGCCTATATTTCGCCAGAGTACCAGCCTGCCAAGAAAAAACTAATTCAACTATTTCACTTTTGCAGTCAATGCACATGTTTTTGCTTTTCATTTAAACTTCTCCATGCTGCATTTGGTTGTAAACTCATGATAACTTTAGAACTTAAAAGTTAATAGTAGTCTATAACGATGAAAAAATAAAAATAATTATCAATATTGTATTTTTATTCCGAAAGAAAATAACAATAGAGAGAGTGAAAGACCTCTTCTTTGGAGTGTACATGAGACTTATGAGTTCCATTGAGTGGCTTTGCATTTTTGTCATAGGAATTGGCAAGCACAGATACCATTCTACGGAGCAAATTCCTTCTGAAAAGGAATACTGTAGAAACTCCTCTCCTTTCAAAGTACTCCACTATCTCCTCATGATGCTCCATTAAACCCTGCGAATGTATATGCATCTATTCTTTTAGTAACAACCTAATCATCATCATCATCATCAACATCATATATAGACATAACATAACCAACCCAAATCCATGATGTTTCATGAAATTGAGACACTCTTAGATTACCTGATTAAGCATCCACTTGAAGCCCACAGCTGCGGAACACTCATTCTTGGAAGCACCACCGAACCAATCGAGATTGAACACTTCGTCAATTGTCTCCAAAATTGAAGTTACATTTTCCCTTCTTTTGGCCACCACAAATATCTCTCCATTGGAACTTACATTCATATGACTGTTCATTAACGTCTCAAACCATCCACTCCCTGATCTTTGCATTGTCAATATGCAGAAAAACCGAACAGGATTGCAAGCACACTCTTTTCTGTTCATCCAATCAAACCCAAATAACAGATATTTGAGGCAAATTGAAAACTTGTTCTTCCACAAAGTATATATATATACATAATCTTCAGATATATGCACAAATTTATGTAAGTGAAGTAAATTTATACCTGTTGTAAGTTTTGGGTTGTGGATAATGCAAATAGGGTGCTTCCCATTCTTCTACACTAGAAGTATGACATGACTGGTTGATGACTTTTTGTTCCAACAACTTGGTATTCACACGAACCCTTGTTGGTTTCTCTAAATTAACTGAGCAAATGTATAGTCCACATGTTGCGGCCATGACTAAAACTACCAACCTCAATGTTGATGGAAAATTCTTAATACATTTAATGTCCATGGTGTCCTGAAAAAAGAAATAGTAACCACATGTCACACTGATATTGTAAACAACTGTGATTAAGAATGAAAAGAAAAAAGATAATGATAGCAATGAATGATATAGTACTTAAGTTTCTCACCTTCTTGAGGATAAATATTTGTTGAATCATGTTTCACGGGAATGAAGGACAACGACAAAGACCCTCTTCTTCCCTTCACTGTTTATATGTCCACCCCTTTGTTCGTCTTTTATATGTTTTCAGATTTCGAGGTTTCCACGTGAAATTTAGCGTTGTTCAAGCAATTTGGTCTTGCAGTGGTTCCCTTCTTCTTTTCTTTTTTCCATCTACGACTTAAATTACACGGCGGGTAGAATATATAGTACAATTTAAATATGAGTTATTTTTATGATATGCTTATTTTATGTTAAAGTATGAGTTAGTTTATCTTATCTTAAAATTTAAATATAATTTTATATGTGTGGAAAAAAAGTATAGAAGGTGATGATCAATCACATGACATGAAAGGAACAAACAAAACAGTGGATCCATAGTTTCTTTGAAGCATGATTTCGATGTAGAGGAGAATAATATTTTAGTCGAGTTTAATTTTGAAATCTGATATGTATATTTTACACTGATAACCAAATAAAAAATTTTAAACAAAAACTTTAAAATAATTGCTACAAATTATTTGTTTTACACTAATAGTATAAAAAGAATCACATTGATAAAACATTATAATTACAATTCGCTTAAAACGTAAAATATAATTAAGATACTTGAAGAAACTATACTATGCGTCATGTGCTTATTCTGGTTTATTAAAACAAGGGATGATGTATACTATGTGGTACCAAAATATGACGAAATAATATACCATACATTGACCGTCATTATGGTCAAATGCTTAAGCTTATTTTTCTTTTCTATTTTTTAATTTTAAATAACCCAAAAATTTTAAACTTCTAATTTAAAATAGTCATTTTAGCTATGTATTAAAAAAGACATGTTTTTCAACTAATCTAAAATCAAACAAAATTTCTAAATATTAAATATTATATAACATTTAGTATTAATAATAAAACTTATTATTTGATAATATACATAAAATAACTAATTTTTTTTAATAATATGATTTGTTACATAAAATAAAATAAATATGGCAAGGGTATACCCATTTGCTTACACAATTCATTTTTTTCTTTTATAGATTGGTATATTATTATTCTTTTTTATTAAGATTTTTTGTCGGTAAACTTTGTTCTTTTGTAAATCTCGTCTGAAGTTTGATGTTAAGATTAAAAGTTGATCAATTACTTTAAAAAAACACTCTTCCAAGACCTATATTTCTAAGTAAGAATATATCGCATCCATCACGAGACCTTGGTAAAACTTTGCAAGTCACACTGCATGATTCAAATTTGTAACTAAACTAGTTCATCAATAGTTGACATGGATACATTGTTGTCAATAGTCTCAAAACCTGTATGGAGAAGGTTCGATAACACATTTTGTTAAAGAATGAAGAAAACACTTGTGCTAAAATTATAGAGCTACAAAAGAAAAAGATAGGATAACCCAAAACTCGTTGAAAAGCAACATCAGGACAAGATCAAAGCCCTTAAGAGATAAATGAATGTTCTCAATAGGAGGATGTACCTATAAAGAGAAGTTTAAGTAAAAAGTTAATATGATTATGCTTTGAATTGTTATGAAATAACTTAATTTATGTTAATTCTAATATATTTTTCTCTCAATGTAGGATAAATTCGAGAATACCTTGATACAAGAGTAATAAGCATAATTGTCAACATAATTGGAGCAAAATTGAAAAGAGAAAGAAGATTTTCAGCATGAAAGTCGTTCGAGCAAGATAGATTCTCGCTTGAGCGAAGATTAGTTAAAACTCTCTGGAAGTCACTCGCTCAAACGCCACTATTCTCGCTTGAGCGAATATAAGTTAAAACTCTCTTGAGTCAGTCGTTCAAGCGCCAGTAATTTCGCTTGAGCAAATGTTAGTTATTCTTCTCTGGAACTCACTCGCTCAAGTGAGTAATTTCTCGCTTTAGTGAGCATTCTCGCTTGAGTGAGCGTTCTCGCTTGAGCGAAAGATGTGAGACCTAATTTTTCCTATTAAAAGATAAGATGTGTTTTTGAAAAAAGTAAGCGGTTTTGGGGAGAAGAGACGCGACTACTGCTAGAGTTTCGTCCAATCTTCATCAATTCTTCACTTCTTCCACATTTGGAGCAGTGTAATAGCCAACATGAGTGACTAACTTCATTCTCTTGAGATTTTATGCACTTCTTTTGAACTCTTTTGTATCATGGTGATATTTTGAGATATTAATATATGTTTTGATGTTGTTATTCTTATCTTTTGTGCTTTGGAATGATTTATTCTTGATGTTTGGGGTATGATTAAAAAATATATCTTGAACCTTACATCCCGATAAAAATATTTACGTTAATTGTCAAAAATGGAATGAATGTATCAATTGCTTAACACTCAAACCCTAATGCTGGAAAATCTCGTAATTGTGTGTGAAATCAACATTTATTAGGTTTTCTTATAAATTTCTTGTGTGAAAAATCAACATGAATTAATTACGTAGGTGACATCAACATTGTTAGGTTAATTGATGTTCTTAATTGACATAGTCATTGCAAAAGAAGGATAATGAAAAAAGTCAATCCTAAGTGCCTTTAATTGATTTTTTCTAAACAATTTACAATTCTTGTTATTTAATTTCAATTCAACTCTTTATATAAAACTCACTTTGTTTAATCTACTTAGTAAACATATAATTGAGAATTTTCATTGAAACCGTTCCTCGTGAGATCGACTTTTATTTAATCAAAATACTATATTGCAATTGATAATTTTGGTACGCTTGCCAATAATTCAACAAGTATTTCTGACGCCGTTGCCGGAGAACGATTTTTTTTAGAATTCTTCGTTTAATTTATTAAGTATTTTATTTTTATTTCTGTGTTATATTGTTGTCTTGTGCTAATTTTTGCTTGAGTTACTCTTTGATTTATGCGTTTAAAAGGACAGGTATCTTCAGAGCAGTTAAAATTTAATCCAGAGATTGAAAAAACCGTTCAGAGGAACCATGGTAGAAGAAGAAGGGAAACTCAAGAATAAGCCACAGGAGAATCTATTAACTCGTCTCCTACATTCAACTTACTAGATCCAATCATAGAAGACATGACGGAGGAAGGACCAAATCAAAATCCAAATTCAAATCCACATAGAAGAATACTTAGAGACTATGTTATGCAACAAGGTCCGAGACACTTCTCTAGCATTGCAATACCGGACAACCAAGCATTGGAGATGAAACCAACTTTCATAAGCTTGATCAGTGTTCATCAATTCACTGGACTGGATCATGAAGACCCCTATATTCACTTGTCTACTTTTTATGAATTGATTGATACCATGGGATTTAGAGTAGCAGATATTGAATCTACATACTTGAAATTATTTCATTTTTCTTTGGCAGGTAAGACAAAAGAGTGGTTGAAGGCACATCCTAATCAAAGTTTGACCAACTGGGGTACTGTAGAAGATAAGTTCTTGAACATATTTTTTCCACCATCTCGCTACATCAAAGCAAAATCAGACATTTCCACTTTCAGACAAGGAGCAGATGAACCTTTTTGTGAAGCATTGGAGAGATTCAAATCACTGTTAAAGAGATGCCCAAACCATGAATTTAAAGATATTGCTCAGTTAAACATCTTCTATACTGGTCTGAGACCTGATATAAAGATGCTCTTAAGAACTATGATGACTGTGGATGCTGAACAAGCCACAAGAATTATTGACGCATTAGCATCTACAGACCAACAGGCTCAACATGATAGGCATCCAGTGCAAAAGAAAGGAATGTTTGAGCTTAACACTTCAGATGCTATGCTAGCTCAGAATAAAATCCTGACTAAATAGATGGAAGTATTGACTCAACAAATAGCAAAGCTACCTCAACAAACACATGTTATCCAAGCTTATCCTGGTCAATAATTTATGAAATGTGACTTGTGTGGAGGTGATCATCCAAATGAACACTGCTCATATCAAGACAACATACAACAAGAAGAAGCTAATTATATGAGTGTTCAAGGTAGTAGTGGTCAAGAAAGACAAGGTAATTTCCCTAATCTCAACAACTATTAGAATAATTTTGCACAATGATGGAGAGGGAATCAGAATCAGAATCAGAATTTTGGGTGGAAACAATGTGCTAATTCATCTACTAGACAACATCTATTTCAACAACAGTCATATCGGCAACCTCCATATCAACAACAATAGCAACATTATCCTTCAATGCCTGACAGAATAAGCAAATTGGAGGACACTTTAGAAAAATTCATGCAAGCTACTTTGTCTAGTCAGAAAAATACAGATACGACATTCAGAAATTTAGAAACTCAGGTGGCCAATTGGATAAATAGTTATCTGAGCAGCAAGGAGGACAATTTTCAGCGAACACACAAACCAATCCAATGGAGCAGTGTAAGTCAATAACTACAAAGAGTGGTAAGGTTATAAGAAAAGGGATTAGTGACAACCTGACTGTAGAAAATGAAGTCTTATAAGAAAAAGAGGATAAAGATAAAATAAATGAGTGTGAAGGAAAAAAAGAGAAAAATAAAAGTGAGAGTTTAGAAAAAGAAAAAATACTGAAAAAGAAAAAAAAAGTAAAAATAATGAGAAAAAGAGAAGAAAGTTGAGAATCAGATACCTTAACTAAAGGATTTATCATATCCTCGTCATCCTTCCAAGAAAGATAAAGAAAGACAGTTTGCAAGATTCATGGATGTTTTCAAGCAATTACAAATTAATATTCCATTTGTGGAAGCTATGGAGTAGATGTCGACTTATGCAAAATTCATGAAAGAGTTGTTAACTAAGAAAAAGAGATTTACTGCGGAAATAATGGAGTTAGAAGCAGGATGGAACGCTATAATTCAGAAATCGTTACCTCAAAAGTCCAAGGATCCTAGCAATTTTACTATTCCAGTCACAATTAAAACATTACAAGTAGGTAAGACATTACTTGATTTGGGTGCTAGCATAAATCTAATGCTTTTATCTATGCTTAAAAGAATAGGAGACTTGGAAGTAAAGCCTACAAGAATGACACTTCAGCTAGCTG